TCAGTGGGATTCAAGTAAATTACATTCTAGGTGTCATGGTATCAAATTAAAATTCCATCATTGGTGGCATTGGGAGTGTTTAAAAATAAATCCCATCATTGGTAACTGGTAGATGTAAATAACCCCCATGTGGTTGGCACCATTGGGTGACAAAAGCACCATTGTTTGACAGTGGAAGAATAATAAGCCCCATCCCTAGGCGTTGTGTGGTTACATCTGCTCTGCCTATATATCACTCTGTGTACTGGGGTCAGTAGATGGAACCACAGTGCACAGGATGGGGCATCCAGCTTCCCACATCCCCAAAGTGACCTTGTTTCAGCCAGCCTTCCACCAAGAGAGCGGAATCTATTGGCAGCATGGTGGCAGGACAGGTATTATATATTAAACCTTTCTTTACAAGGTGCTCTTTTTTTGAAGGAAATATATGATTGTAGTGACAGTAAAGCCTCGTACACTCTGAACGATGCAGACTAAATTATTGACAGAATGATCGTCTGTTTTTTTTCTTATGCATATCAAAATATGAATAGGGTTTCAAAGTTACACAAAAATGCTCACGTAAGACAGAATACAACTTTGGAAAGTGATGTAAATGTAGTGTATTGTAATGTATTCTTTCTTTTTTGAATCTGCTGTCATGGTCACTCGATTTTTAAAGCTGAATACTGTACTGATTAATCACAAATTGGTTGTTCTTGTATCATACGAGGGGAAAATGTTCGTGCTTGTCCCTTCGGATAATTTTGCACGCATTGTCGTGATTGGCTCTCGAAATCTGTGTAGTAATGCTCAGATTATCAGATACTGACTCCAAAAACCGGTATTTTTCGGACGATATTCATATGTACAATCCTTAACACACATTTCTTGGGGCACATTATAGGGACAAAAGGAGCAAACTAGGACCACAGCATACACATTGAACATGAGAGTATGATCTGCTACAGTACATAGGCTCAGAGATCGCAATGTGCAGTTTCATCCATGCACGCATGCAGGGCCACAATAAGCTGGCCATACATGATTCATTTTTTTTTTGTTCAACCAGCAGCACTAATCGTTCGGTAAAAACCCCCAACAGGTTGACTGTACACAACTTGATTGATAGATGAACTTGTGTACAAAACCAGCCTGCCCATACATGGATCAAAATGTTTCTAGGCCAGCAGGAACCTGCTGGACCAGCTGAATTTCAATACATGTTTGGTTGGCTTAATGGTTTATACACATTCTTGATTATTTACGTGAATAAATCAGCCTACGATGTCAGCCATACACATAATCACCGCTGTTCAACTTGGGCAGTTTTTCAGGTTGAGCCTCTCTATGTGTGATGGTGCTTTCAGTGCAGGAGTTGCATAGCTTCCAACTGTCCTTCCTTTATAACCAAATCCTTCTGTGTCTCATCCCTCCTCAATTGTCCTTTTTGGTCTGATGTGCGGCCCATGAGACAGATTAGTGCAGCTCTCTGGAGACACAGTGGGGCAGCATGGCACTGGAGCTGTTCTCAGTACGGCTCAGTCAACTGGGTACACACCATTCGATTTTTATTTGTTCAACCAGCAGGCTAAAGGGAAAAAAAAAAACTAACAGATTCCTCCATCCACACAAGTGAGGTGGATGCAGGAATCCCCCTTCCCCCTCCAGTGTGCTACTATGGTTTTGGCTGCAGCTGCTGATCAGTGAATGTTTTCCAACATGATCATTTGACAAAAGTTGATGATTGGCCTGATAATTGGCATCTGTCGAACAGTGAGGACCACACATAGATCAAAATTCTGCTAGATCCTGCTGCACCAGCCAAATTTCTATCCATGTGTGTACCCGGCTTATTGCTGAACCTGATAAAATCATAGCTGCAGTATTACTGAGCTCCCTTCCTGGCCTGTGACACAAAAATGGCCACCACAGGAGGCATCCATATTGACAGATGTTAGTGCCCCCTTAACCTTTACCCTACCTCTAGTGATGTAATGGGTACAGTTAGTGCCCCTTATATGTCAGCTGTGGGTGAGGCCCAGGGGTCTTCGGGTATGGGAGCAGGACACAGCAAGATGTAAGAGCCCTCTGTAGGGCTGGACTGCTAGGATGGTTGGTGAGGACACATTGGGAACAGAACGAGAAACCTCACCATTCCTGACCATTGGCTAGAAGGTCCTGTGGCTTGTACTGGTGATGGAGTTATGTTGTAAAGCATTTCAAATGCAACTGAAGTGAACATTTGTTTTCTTCCAGGATGGGAACATGGAGGATGCAGGCCGCCAGCCTGAAGATTGGAACAAAGTATGGTGCAGTATCTCCTAAACAACAGGTAGGTGACTATCCCATCCAAGAAGAAGAGGTGTTGGTCCAGAGTCAACAAGGCGGGAATCTGCGCCCAGTAGAGGACCCTTACATCTGCCCCCAACTCAGCCTTGCGGACTTCATCCATGAACAAGTCATCCTTTCCTTTGACTATCCTCTCCCTCTTAAGCATTTGGATTTTTTTTTGTTACATAATAAAATACCATGGAAGAAACCTTCTGCTTTCTGTGCATGCATCAGAGATTTGCAGGATTTAGCGCATGTAGAGACATTCCATGGTTGTCAGGTAGACCTGACAAGACCCATGGTGCATGCCCAGGGTATTGTTTCAAGATGACAGAAAGGGAGAAAAGCTACAAAGAAGAATTCTCCGCTCTAAGAAAGACAATGCTGGATTCTGTGGACTAGTAGATATGTAATTTATAGTCTACATACAGGAAGAATAACTATGGATTAGAAATATAAATTTAGTTACATAGAGTGGAATTTCTCTGTACTGCGCTTAACTTTTCATCTAAACTCTAAATTATTACATTTGCTATTTTGCAAAGTCAATGCCTACCAAGAGTGGCAGTGAGGAATAGTACTTGTTTAAATTTTTGGCATATTCAATCTTAAGGGCTCATTTAGAATTCAAATGGGCGCGGAGACCCATCCTTGGTGCTTAGCTGCTTTTTCTGCATTTGTTTCTACCTCGGAGTTGCGTGCAAGCAGCCCATAGAAGTAGATGCAGATGCAGTGGGTGCATGGACACAGACACATGTCAAAATTTGCCATGCGGGCAGGAGTGGATGCACAGACTAAAATGCACAGTCTACATTCTGAATCATGTACCCACTCCTGCCTGCTCTGGCTCTGAATGAAGTCCTCATGCACACTGGACATTTTTACAGCGGTTGTTTTTGGCTTTTGGCGTTTTTTCTACAGCCAGTAAACCCCCTAGCATGTTATCTTATGTGTCCATGCACACGTAGACTGTAATCAGCGTTTTTTGGCTAAGGTGTTTCTTGGCTGGAAAAAACCCTGGAATTAGTGGGTTTTCTAGTGTTCTTTAGCTGTAAAAATGCTCAAACGCTGAAAAATGCGGTAACATGTTGCAAGCTGCCATTTTTGGACTTTCTGTGAGCAAAACAAAATTTAGGGGCGGGTAAAAAAAAACTGCTAAAAAAACACAAATGAGAACAAACACTAAAAAACGCCGTTAAAACGCTAATGCAAAAACGCTAAAAATCTCTGAAAAACAGGTTTTTAACGTGACTTTACACAGCTAATGTTACCAGTGTTATTAAAACGCGCCCAGTGTGCATGGAGCCTTAGGCAGGCAGTACATGGGTCACAATTCGACCGATTTTTCATCCAAAAATCAGACCTAAGAATAATCGGCCGATTTTCGCTCTGTTAGTGGGTCAATGGCACCAACCAATTTTTGTGGTTCCTCCCCTTTTCGGGCATATTGGGAAATTCGTAAAAAAAACAACCGATTTTCGACTCAATGATGGTCAAAACCGTACAATCGTTTTTCTGAAAAGAATATGCGCATGAGCCGTGACCTGGAAGGAACTGAAGTTTTGCTTGTTATATGGGGTGAACTTTATGACTTGGTCAGCCGATTTTCAAAATCATTGATGGCATCATCAGATTACTGAGTGAACGTTTTCGATTTTGAACTAAAAATCGTTCGGAATTCGAACCATGTATGGCCTGCATAACAGTCCGCATGGCAGAGGTGTGTACTGCCCTTACATTATTGTGCTAAAACCTGTTCCCTTTTACCATCTCAGAAAGCTGGGAGGTTGAGAGTTGCTTATCTCCAGAAATCTGAGAGCAGGATGGCACAGGGAAGTATATTTAGGCAAATACCAGTTGCTCAATGTTTATCAGAGCATGTTGGCTGCTCCATGCAATAATCCAGCTTTCTGATGCAACTGCCTGATAGTGACAAGGAAAAGCCATGCCTATTAAGTGTAAAGAGATACATATATCTACGGAAGTACCTATAATACTATCTGTACTCATGTCTGCTATGCTGAGTAAAAAACACTTTAATAATCGGTTCCTGAGATCAGAACGCTTGCACACTAATTTTAATTTTATCCACTTTACACTGGAGCTTCTGTGCTGGGGATGTTATGGGGGATTTCCATAATATCTGCCAAGCACTTCATTGCAGCCCCTGGGAAGGACATTTAAGAACATTATGTATGCTGTGCTGATCAGTACAATGTTCCTAGGCTTCTCAGAAATGAGGCCCTGCCAGGGAAGACTCTAAAGAACCCATAAGTCCCGTACCAGTGTATGCCAGGAATGCAGTGTGCTCTCAATACACTCAGACGCAGGGGTGGACTGACCATTTGGAAACTCGGGCGCTGCCCGAGGGCCCAGGGTCAGTAGAGGGCCCTATGAGATGCTCCTGGTACCTTTTTCATAGGCTTTTTTGAATTTGGAAAAGGACACAGGGGCCCCATGATCCCCTATTGCCCCGGGGGCCCCATAAGATGTCAGTCCGCCCCTGCTCAGATGGAATTATAGAACTGGCCAACCCATGTGCAGGTCTGGTCATACTGTAGCCAGGACTACTGAATTATCAATTGTCCAGATAAATAATTGTCAATGCACCCAGACTGAATTATGGGACAGAAAAGGACTTACCTCCAATAGGACCCTTATGCCTTTCTGTTCATATCGTAGTCAGGACTTCCCAGTCATGCCCATGTAACAGTTACTTCAACCCTTTTGGGTCTTTGAGCCCAAATAAAAGTTTTGTGTAGGACTGTTGCTAACGCTGGCCATACATGTAACAATAAGTAGTTAATCATTGACGCAATCACTTCATGCAATCTTTTGAGCGAAATGTGTCTATGTGACAGGAGCAGCTGGCATGAAAGGTAATCACCTCAAAAACCTTCAATATCACTCAAAATTCATAAACCATGCAGCGCTTAAAGATGAACATATATATCTGCCAGGGCCATTCGTATCTGTTTTGTTTTTAAGTGGTTATAATTTCTAGGGGGTTAACCAACAATAATTCTTATACTGTACATGTGTAGCACCCTTGAGTGTGCTACTAGAATAATGTAGGCAGATCTATTGTGTATTACTCATGGTGAATGTGTGAGTCTGTGATTAAGGTCGGGTTACTGCAGGTCAAGCTGGATGAGGTAAAAGGTTGGGACTCAGTCACCTCCACTTGGTTCTGGAGGACCACGGGAACCTTCCAGAAGCCAGTAGGCAGAAGAGATGGAAACCTAATCTGCATGTTTGTGGGAGTCTAACCAATCTCAGGTTCTGGTAGAGTGGTGGACCAGCCCATAAATATGGGATAATCAGGCCACCTGGGGAGTCGGGTGGAAGATAGAGTGCTGTGGACACTGGCAGTGGCCTGGGAGGGGTCCCCTATGTTTGGGGTGGCTGGCCCCCAGGCTGGGCTCAGGCTGGCTCAGGAGGATCGATTCAGCAGTATGGCAGAAACATGAGTGAGTGTATCAGCACACCCAGGGATTCACAAGGGAAAAGACTGCTACATGTAGAAAGCTTTCAAAGGACAGCACTGTGCTTAATACTTTATCATTATCCTGGGAGTTCTTCAGAGCAGCCAGGAGGGCTGGTAGTGTCTGCAGACTGCGGAGCTGGGAGCAGTTCTACGGGTGGGAGGAGAATCTAAGTTGATTTCAAAGGGGCTGCGAGTTCCTCGCCCATAAAGGGCTGTTGCTACTGATCCGTTATGACTGATGGCTTTCAAGGAAAAGAACAGTCCAGGATCTGTGTCAGTAAATAGGAAGGTAGTTGTGCCCCTGCATTGATTCAGCTAAGTCGGGCATAATCCCTATTATGCTATCCAAGTTATGTTCTCCTAATAAAATAACAAAAACCAAGCTCATGGATTGTTCACTGACTGTGGATGAAAGTGTGGAAAATGCGTGTTGCCTGGCTGTGCAGAGCCTGGGGGTACCAAGAAACACAGCAGCCTGCTACATATGTTTTAGATCATCTTTATGATGCAAGTTGTACCCGTGGAATCCCTTTGAAAGCTGGAAATCACTGGAGTAGGCTTTGCTACTCCAGTGATCTCCACTAGCTCCCGGGGCCCGTGCTGAATGGCTGTCTTGCTGCTTTGTGAACACAGGCGGTCATTCGCTCACTATGAGCACCATTCAGAGAACACTTTGCACTTTCTCAATGAACGCAAAGCATCCTTTGAACGGATGAGGTGAACAGGTGGGGTGGTGAAGTCATGATCGCGAGAGAGCACATGGTAGTCATTGATGCTTACTGTAGTTATTTCCAGCTTCCACAGGGATCCCACAGGTTTGGATCATGTAGAGCCTTGCAGTGGACTCCTGGGTGTACTTGTGCTGAAAGGGAATTAGATGGCACAGGATACTGAATGGACTGGGACTGCTCTTATAGGGTTCAAGCTTATTGGCATTCCCTATTACTTTCAACAGAGGCTGTTTAGAGAAGATAAGTGGGAAGTTGTCCTCCTGTTATCTATTTCTCTGATTTTGGACTGTCCTGTACCCTGAACCCCTCTTCCTGTTCCAGGTTATTCTGCAATAAATTCCAAAAAGACATCTTCTAGACCAACGGTCACTAAATGGTGGACTGCGGTCTGCGAATGGCCCAAACAGCGCTACCGCCCAGACCGCCAGCCCGCAGTGACAGATCCGCCGCTGAGCAGGGCGGTCATCATGGCAACATAACATCACGTGTGGAGGGAGGATACATAAATTGGAACCTGAAATCAATAAGACTCCATTTCAGGTCTGGTGGGATCTAAATAGGAAAGCATTACAATATGTTTTGATTCTGGGGACATTTGTCTGTAATGCGTAGTTTTAATTTTTTGTTTCGCATTCCTATAGAGAGATTAGGTTTACACACAGGCCTAGATTGGTACAAAGGTCATGTACAACCCAGTCTAAGCTGACCAAAGTTTTGGGTTGGAAGTGAATTTAATTTTCGTTCATTACCTAAATATCTGATTTCTTTGCTGCATTTATATACGCAGTGATAAAACAATAGGTAATAGATGTTTATTGACTTATTTGTTAGATGCACTGCATATAGAGCTGTATAAACATCAAGTGATCATATGAACCAGCCATTCTCAACCGGGGTCCTCCACAGGCTGTTTGGGGTTCCTTGAGCAGTAACTAATTGATCTTTCACATAGTGCTATTTGCATAGCTT